ATCGTCTGCGATACTCCCCGTCTCCAAGGCGGAGAGACCTGTAAATCTTTCGTAAGATCTTTCTTTCGAATACTCCAAGAGCCGCCTCATCGAATTTTGTCATTGTCTAAGCTTCTGCGCCATAAACCCGCTCGGGAATGATTAGTGACTTATAGAGTGTGGTTTTTGTACGTCGAGAGAGAACTTTACTCCCGAATTGCCTACTGAGTCCAAAGTTGCACTTTTTGGCTAGAGAGATTCTGAGTTGGATTTATATGCTGACATTATTATCGGTGTTAATGCTGGTTCCCAAGTAAACGAAATTCTTTACTTTCTCGAAATTACAACTGGCAACAGTGACGTGGGTGCCAAGGTGCGAATGCCCTGATGCTTATTTGATGTTGTTATCGTTCGTTATCCAACTTGGAAAAAGCAGAACAGACTTCGAGGTTTTTGTTACCGATGATGTCGATGTCATCGGCACACGCCAGAAATTACACGCAGCTCTTATTATGTTAACACTTGCATCATGCGATCGCAAATGCCCTTCTGCTTTAGCTTTAATTTGGGAATGTCTGTTTGCGCATATAATAGGAGTTCGCAATAGTAATAATAATAATATTATCTATTGTTATTAAAACTTTCTTTACTCGCAATATACTTAGTAGGCTATGGCGACCCCAAACGAAATTGTTTATGATTAAAATTTAACTGTTAACTGCGTTAATGTAAGGGAATGGTGATAAAAATATTAAGTTTTCATTATTTCATTTCATGGGATATTTTTATGTTTTCGTTACGCTGTTTATAATTTTTTCATTTGTATCAGTTGTTATTTATTAATTTTTTTTCTGTGCGTAATTTGTATACCAAATCTTCGTTGATAATATGATCACTTCGTTTGATAAGATGTTGTAAACTCTCTCTTCATTTTAACTATCCGGATTTGGATAAGTGAAAATATTAACAAAAAATTTCTCTTGAAAAGCTGTCCCAAACGCTTTCCGTTTCGAACCATTTATGTAATATTTCATTTAATTCAAATATTTTCAGTTTACTTTTATATATTGCTTAATTCTATTCAACAATTTTTATGAGCTTGCATAAATTTATGATATTGCATAATTCTATTGAGAGTATTTCCAACCTATTTTCAAATAGGTGGCAACCCTCCTTAAAAATATTTCCAACAGTCATGTTTTTTAAACGCCTTTAAGTTGATTCCTTTATTGTAATAAGTCATTTATTTTATCAATTAAATTGAGTTAAATTTTCAAACAGGGGGCAACCCTCTTCCTACATATTTTCGACTGCAAGCCTTTTTAAAAATCTAAAGTTTATTACCCACGTTGCAATTTTTCAATTATTTTATCAATTTAACTGAGCTAAAATTTTCAAATAGGTGGCAGCCCTCCTCAAAAATATTTCCTACAGTCTGTTAAACTTCTTTAATTTGATACCTTTATTGTAATAAGCCATTTATTTGATCAATTATATCAAATTTTCTAACACGTGGCAACCCTCCTCAAACTTATTTTTGGCTGTAATCCTTCTTAAAAATCTAAAGTTTAATACCCACATTGCAATATTTCATTTATTTTATCAATTTAACTGAGCTAAAATAAAAATAGGCGGCAGCCCTCCTCAAAAGTATTTCCTACAGTCATCTTTCTTAAGCCTCTTTTATTTGATACCTATATTGTAATGTGATTTATTTTATAAATTAAACTTAGTTAGATCTTCAAACAGGTGGTAACCCTCCTCAAAGTTTCTCATAGTTTCGGCTGTCTCAAACTCTTTAGTTTGATACCCACATGACAATATTTCATTTATTTATTTTCAATTTAATTGAGTTAAAATTTTCAGCCCTCCTCCAAAATATTTCCGACAATCACCTTTCTTAAACTCCTTTAATTTGATACCTATATTGTAATATGTCATCTATTTTATCAATTAAATTTAGTTAAATTTTCAAACAGGTGGCAACCCTCTTCAAACATATTTTCGGCTGTAAGCCTTCTTAAAACTCTTTAGTTTACACCCATATGGCAATATTTTATTTGCTTTATCAATTTAACTGAGTTAAAATTTTCAAATAGGTGCCAACCCTCCTCAAAGGCATTTCCAGCAGTTATCTTTCTTAAACCTACTTAAGTTTGTACCCACATTGCAACATTTCATTTATTTTATCAATTTGACTGAGTTAAAATTTTAAAATAGGTGGCAACCC